CAGCGCATCGCGCCCGCCGCCCGCGCACCCCGGCCACATGGTGAGTCCCCGGGGGCCGCCCCTGCGCCGCGCGCCCTTGCGAGGCACGAGGCGGCCTGGCCTCAGCCCTCTGCCCCAGGCAGGGCATCCCCAGCTGTGCCCCCGCGGGCTGGCAGGGTCAGCTCCCCCCCCCCGCCCGCGGCCTGGGGCTGCCCCGGGGTCCGCTCCGCCTCCCCCCAAGACCAGCCTTGCGCCACCGCCCCGGGAGTGAACCGGACTGCCAGCCTCGGGCCGCCACCTTGCCCTGGCATGACACCGGCTTAGCCCTGGCAGCTTGGCCTCAGCCAGAAGGAACTGCAGGGGGAATACGTACAGCTCCCCCCGCCCAGCCCCGGGAGGGGAGCGGGGGTATCGAGGGTACCCCCCAGGTATCAGCGGCCAGGTGAACTCAGGGCTCGGGGAGCTTCCCCAGCTGTCCCGTGCCCACCAAGAGGCTGCCCCGCCAAGAGAGAGGGCACCAGGCAGTACACAAGGCAGAGCCAATGCATGAGGCTCAGCTGTGGGGGCACTGCCCTAGCTGTGCTTCTGCCAAACCTGGACACCACCAGCCTCGCCCCAAGAGAAGGATGCTGGCTGGGGAGCTCCCCTGTATTCCTCTTGGCAGCCTTTCGGGGGTGCCATTCGCTTTGGTGGAAGAGAGCACCTGAGCTAGCTTGTGGCACCCTTTGGCTGGGAGGGTGGGAGGTAAGCCTTCCCTTAGGGTTTAGGCAAGCAGGAGTTAAAAGCTAGAGTGGCAGTAGCAGACAGTAGACCTCAACACACCTTGTTAGATTTAAGACACCCTTTGGAAAGTGCCCGCTCCTAGCTTTCACTTGTTTCTCAACTACAGAAAAAAATAGAGCAATTCCTCTGTTGCAAAGAGCTCAGAAAGTGGGTCAGAAGGTTGCTGATGCTACAGATCCCTATTTGGAGTCTCTGGTTGTATCTTGTGAATCACATGCAGGTGTTTCCAGCCCTAACAATGCTCATGTTGCCTAATACCTCATGGCACCCTTAAAACAATCTTAAGGCACCCTAAGGTGCTGCAGCACCATGGCCGAGAATCACGGGAGTAGGGACCTTTCAGAGGTTTATGGAAGGGCTACAGAACTTGAAACAAAAATGGGAAGGAAGTCTCCACTAGAGAGGCATTACAAGATTGTTAGTTTGCTCTTAGTTATGAGGCTCAACCCATCAAAATGGAAAATAATTGTTTCTTGTTTAGGAATAAACAAGCTGGATTTCAATGTCAGTATTAGCTTTCTACCTCAGAGCCTGTAACCTGTAAAACTTAGACTGTTTTGGGAACAATTGTCTTTCCTTCTTAGGAAATCTAACAATGCTCCTGAATGCAATGATTGAGATCCTTGGGAACTGCAGCACCTTTCCCTGACATTTTATCTGTCTCCTTTTAGTGTTTAATTTAATTGGTTGAACATTTCAACAACTTTACAGTCATATTGCAGCCTTTTCAAGGGAGGAAGGAGAGAGGAAACACATAACAGCCAGGCATATCTACTACATGTGGTTACTTTTATATAGAAGGAAAGGTTAATATATTAATGCATAGGCTCAGTTCCTCTTACTAGGATTTTCCAGCACTCGCCATAAGCCAAATACAAAGCCAGAAAACCAACAGCTTGATTTTGTAAGGTATTAGGCACTTGGAATTGAAATTCCTCTTGATTTTCTGTCTGTATTTGATTTATTTCTAAATATTTTAGGATCATATGCACAAATGGAATATTCCTGAAGGTAAGTTAATAGAAGTGCTTGCACATATAATGAATCTTAAGTGGTGCACTGCTTTTCCATATGATGAATATAAATAATGGAATTTTATTTATCTGAGTGATACAAGAGCCTGAGACCTTTAAAAGCAGTGCTTCAGGCAGTCAGACTGCAAATGGGAGAAGATTTTTAAAAATATCCTTGTGCTGGTAGTTGCTTCCACAATACATAGTGGATTAAACTGAATTAAACCTCATAGTAATCCTGTGAGGCAGAGGAGCATTACTCCCATTTTGCAGCTGAGAAGAGCAAGTCATGGAAAAGTTTAGTAATTAATCTAAGGTTTCATCAGAGATGGGAAGCAGGTTTTGGAACAGATTTTCTGTTTTCAGCCACGTGGTTTAGCAACAAGACCATTCCTCCTCTTAAACTGGGATGTATATTCTGATTTAAGAGCCATCTGGCCATTCCTCACACATAAAAATAGTGTGAAAACTCAACATTTCAGCTGCACAATATCCAGAGAAAGATAGCTGATTTCAGGGTGGGTGACCAAACTGTTATGATTCAAGATGGACAGTTCTAATGTAGTTTTCCACTTACAGGGTTTAAGGAGCTACCCATTTTACCGTTTAAAAAAAAGCCAGTGGGAGGGCAGGTGAGGTTGGGGAAAGATAGACACTGAAGTTATCCTTCACCTGTCTGATTCATTCAATCTCTTAAATGTCTGATTGTGCCTGTCCCAAATCTAGGAAAACGTGGAAAGGAACAGTGGAAGAGATGATACTACAGAGTATTCTCTTGAAGAATGCCAAGTGCAGCAGGCTTGCTAATACCAGGCATAGCTGAAAACCCACTGTTACCATAGAATACCACACTATTCTAAGAAATAAGTATTCTAAAAGGAGCTGTTTAACCTAACCTTGCTCCCGACACAGCCAACAGAAAATTGTCATAGTCTTTAACAGCTACATTTTCAGGTAGAGGTGCACAGAAACCTGGGTTTGAATCACTATAGCATTACACACTTTTGCTAGTGTGATTGTCAGCCTCCAATAGAGTTGCATTATACACATGTGAAAGTGTTTGGTGTGGGCTTATCTTGGAGCAACATCTATGTCTAGAAGTCAGTTGCTTTATTCAATGTATTTGTAATTTCTACTTTAGAAAATTAGCAAGATCTACAAGGAGATGAAGCTGTCTGCTTTACAACCTGAATCTGAAATTAGAATAATTAACAGTAAGTTACTGTAAACTGTGTAAAGCTTAGCAAGGATCCCATCTCAGGATTGCATTAGTTAGATTATGGCAATGATCTAAGGGATTCCAGTGTCCCATAAGACATTGTGTAGCACAAATGGTTGACACATGAAGGTAATGATACAATTAGAAGGCAGGTTTTCAGAATTGATGAATCAGGTCACAGAATTACCTCTGGGATTTTCTAGCTAGATTGAAATACAGCTTCCTGAGGCAGTCAAAATGTTCTTTAAAGGCTGATTCCAGGTCAGCTCCATCACATTCAGTGAAATAACTTTGGATTTATCCTTATGGAATCAATATCCAAGGCCTATCCTAAATTTTTTATTTCCAAGTCACAGAACAGTTGGTTAACCTCAGAATTGTTCTAGGACAATTGGCAGCAATAGATACAAGGTCAGAATTGCATATGCATGTGTTAGCAAATTTGGACTATTCTGCACTTGGAACAATCAATCGGCTGCTACTGAATACAATGCTCCATTTTTACACATTTTGTCATGTAGAACTTCTTGCAGTGAAGAAGAAAGAATAATAGCCTGACAGAAATGGGAAGGAAAAAAAATCCCCAAATACTGTAATCTCTCAAGATATTTAGAAGTATTGCTGGGAACATACAACTGAAAAGGACCCCGTAGGCCTATACCAAGCTTAAGGGTGTTACAGGATACAATGAAAATAGCGATGGCTTGCTTCTTTAGCAAGAGTTGGAAGAAAAATGCATCTACAGAAGAAGCAGGATCACAACTAAAAGTTTTGCCACAATAAAGATTTCTGTTGGAACAAATTTATTAGAGATAAATGGATGAGCCTAACCCATTAACTGAAACAGGATTTTACAAGGAAAAAATACTTCAGGTCTCTACCTTTGAAGGCAAAGAGAAAAGAGCTCCTTCAAAGGAATGTCACCACATTTGCTAGATACATATTTATGTAACCTGCACTTTGATACATACTTTGCTAAGGATGCAGTGATGCAAGCTTCAGCTAAATAGGAAGTGTGAACATGTCTTAATCCAAGTTTGGCATTGGATAAACAGTAGTGACCCAGAGCCAAGTTAGAGTGTTCTGCCATAGCTATCTATGTAGAAGCCAATTTGATGGTGGAGATGGATCATTGCCCAGAAGATAGTGAGCACTAAAACATTGTTCATTTTATCCTGGTGTAATCATTAGTACTGGCAGCCAGATTCTGGTAGGTGTCCTATTTATTGGAGCAATGGAGTCCAAGCCTGTTCTGAACAGAAGTTCTCATCAACTTCTCTATGGTGTTACACGGGTGTTAAAGCAGAATTGGACCCACGGTGTATGGAAATATGTGTCCAGTCCCCCCATGTTGAGGAAGTAAAATACACCTTTGCATCTTGCTATGAAATAGAGAATAAACTAGATCAAGTCCTCAGGTCATATAACTTGCTATAGTTCCAGGCACTAGTCATCTTATCTATTGATACTGTGTGCAAACAGAAACCAACCTGGCACAAATCCACTAGTGACAAAGAACTCACTGTCAGAGATTACTTTCAGGCCATGTCAGATCTGATGTGGCAGTCAGCCTTGCCAGTCCTTCCATCCAAAGTCTAAGACCACATATCAAACCTATACCAATCAATAAATAGTACTAATGTAACTTTGAAAATATTTACCTTCAGAATGTACAGTGGCTTTGGACTACTGATGAGTGCACATAAAAATGGCTGGGTATGGACATTCCTTTTTGAGCTTTACAGACACTATATTTTAGACCTCACCTGCTTTTGAAATCCAACTGATAGCAGAATCAGCACTATATTTAAGATCTGTTCTAGAGACTATTTACTCTACTCATGTGCACACAGACCAGAATTTAGCCCAGTTTGTTGTTCTGCCTTTGGGTGGCCAAAATTTAACCTTTAATTTTATTTTAAAATTTGAGAAAAGAATATAGAGAGGTTAGTGACTAGAACAGAATGCCACCTTGCCCTGACACCCTGGATTTCATGATACTCCAGTATACATGAACACATTCATAAAGTGGTTCTAAAAAAGCAA